GCTGCGGGAGCGGGCCTCGACCCTTCCACCCTCCCCCCTCGCGCCCTTCCTAAGGCGTCCCTGGGGGCAGGGGACCGGCCGCTGCCCCCTCACTGCTCCCCAGCCGCAACGCCGGGTCTAGTGCGCAACCAGGCGCCCGCCGTTCGCGCTGCATTTGGCCAAACTTGTGCGAAGAGGCGGGGTAATGCCTCGCTCCCCCCTCCCCAGGGGTTATCCCCCCCCTTCCTCCCCGGCGCTCCTGCCCTGTTCCCCCGGTCTCTCACCTGCGCCCGGGCTGCCGGAGCGGCTCAGCCCCGAGGGCTGTGCGTGCTGAGCTTCTCCCAGGGAAAGGGCTCGCTTTGCTGGCGGCTCAGACAGTTGTGAGCCCGGGGGGAGCCTCCCATTGGTGCATTTCCTCCTTCCCAGGCTCGTTATCCCCCCCCTTCCTCCCCGGCGCTCCTGCCCTGTTCCCCCGGTCTCTCACCTGCGCCCGGGCTGCCGGAGCGGCTCAGCCCCGAGGGCTGTGCGTGCTGAGCTTCTCCCAGGGAAAGGGCTCGCTTTGCTGGCGGCTCAGACAGTTGTGAGCCCGGGGGGAGCCTCCCATTGGTGCATTTCCTCCTTCCCAGGCTCAGCTTTCTTGCTTCTTTGTTTCATTGACTTTGTGAATGAAGCCCCAGGCTGGGACACGCCCGCCAATCACAGTTCGGCGTGGCCCTCACCCAGAGCAGAAAGGGGCGCGGCCACGGCTTCCAGGCCCAATCAGATCGCGTCACTCTGGGATTCATTCATGGCTGGGGCTCCCATTCATAAAAAAACGCCCAAAGTTCATTCATAAAGGTCTGCCAGGGACTGGGAGCCGGCGCTTGTGCTGAGCCGAGTGTGCTTATGGTCCGGCTTGTGCACGGCGCACACCATGAAATTCCACCCAGGTTTAACCACGCCCAGGCCTGCCAAATCTCGCTCACGGGGGAGTAAGCATCTGCACTACTGTTGTGAAGGGTGGGGTTTTTTAAAGTTTCAGTGAGACTCTGAAAAGATCACACACTTCGAATCTCCTTCTGTCCCGTCGGATCAGCCACACAACCCTGGCTTCCCACACCCAAGGTCTTTGCCTAGCGCCAATATAAGAAAACACCATTGCAGGCCCTGCATTTGCACAGAAATAAGTGCCTGCATGTACAGCCACGTGTGTGCAAATCGGGTGTTTCCTCTCCCGCATGTACATGTTCAAATACTATTTGCATATGCAAACATATTTTTCTCGTCTCTGTAAACTCAAGTTTTTACATTTTCCCTTTAGGGGACCACAGATTCAGATATCCGGAGGGAAAGAAAGAAAGAAAGAAAGAAAGAAAGAAAGAAAGAAAGAAAGAAAGAAAGAAAGGCCACAGACTCAGACATCCTTGTGGAAAGAAAGAAAAAAAGCTGTTGAGTCTTGTGATTCTGTAAATATGGAACCTGCCCAATACTGACATGTTCTGCATATGGCAGATCAGAGAGTATCTATCTCCCTTTCTCTCTCTCTGGTATGCGAATGCCTCAGCCTATTATTTGGCATAACAGTCAATTAAGCATTTTTTAATCCTTCTGCCAAAACAGACTCCAATGTTTTCAGGGCTGCAGGGTTATCTGATAACACAGCTGAATCACAACTGTCTGCACAGACAAGAATGAGCAATGTTTTAACCCTCTCGGGCGGTTAATATCTTTCAGGATAGCCCCTCTCCTCTTTCCCCCCATCCAAGGCAGTTGAGGACTTGAGTTGGGTCTTTATGTTAACTCAGTCTTCAATGGCGGGAGATTGCAGCTCAGACAAATTGCGATGGAGCTCACAAAATAGCTACAAATTCATGGAAACTAAGATCGAGGCAAACAGGCTATGCATATTAATCTGCGTTTAATAGTCAGGCTGAGACTGAATGAGGAGAACTCTCCCCACTTAGATTATTGTGGGTCTATTTGTTCCATGTGTGCTTAAAATAATTAATTAGCCACAGCTACCCATGCCATTCACTCTTGCTTGGGCAGACTGCAGTAAAACAACAACTTGACTTTTACGGGTGGCACATTTCCTGGGTGAGAGATAATGGTGCCTTTGTTATTTCAGCTCTGATTTCCACATATGGTTACACTCTGAACTCTAAACCGGATGGGATTTTCCACTGCAATATTTATTTACTTTACAGTGTTTTAATTTCCCACCCAGCTGGCGGTCGCAGAATTGCAGGAGAAAGGAGAGGCCTTTGTACATGCCTTCTTTTTGCTTTCCGCACTTCTGAAAAATACATGCCGCCCTCCTGGTGACCTTTACTGTACTACGTTCACACACACACCCACACACACACCCCTGTGTTAACATCAAGAGACTCTGTCATGGACTAGTCGCTACCTTCTAGTCAGTTAGGGAAGTCAAAGGCACAGGGCTGGCCCACAACATATTGGCACTTGAGGCGGGGAGCTCAAATGGTGCCCCCATGTCACCTTGCTTGGGCCAAAACTTTGAAAGGTCTCAATTCTGCCTTCTCCCTGTTCTTTGTTCCCTTCTTCCTCCAGCACAGCCCTCCACCATCTCTGTGCATCTAGAGCAGAGAGAATACATCTGCACCAGCAGCAGACACAATTGTCTACACTCTGGGTCCTAGTGGTGCCTCCCCACAGTCTGGCACCTGAAGCGGATGCCTCAGTCTGCCTCATTATAAGGCCTGCCCTGCAAAGGCACTTGGAGATGATGGGGGCTCACACTCCTCTGTGTACCAATGACTGTGGGGTCTCAATCAGAGCAGCCCCAGGAGCTGTTGAGGGGTTCCCCCCACAGTCATTCCTATGTGTTAGCTGAAACAAAATACAGGACTATGTAGCACTTTAAAGACTAGCAAGATGGTTTATTAGGTGATGAGTTTTCGTGGGCCAGACCCACTTCCTTTGATCTGACAAATCTCATGAAGCTCATGTGTAAATTCATGAAAGCCAATCTAATCCCATGAGTTGTCATCTTGAAATAGTTCTTCCTTAGGTAGGCACCTTATATGAGAGCAGCCTCTGCCTTTGGTATATATGGTTGTGACTGTTTTCTTCCACTATTTGATCTGAGGAAGTGGGTCTGCCCCACGAAAGCTCATCACCTAATAAACCATCTTGTTAGTCTTTAAAGTGCTACATAGTCCTGTATTTTGTTTCAGCGACACCAGACTAACACGGCTGCATCTCTATCACTATGTGTTAGCGTGTGAGATGTTTGGGGGTATCGGTTTACATGTGGTGCAGAAATGAGCAGAATGGTTCCCCAGTGTGGCTGAGGCCTCTGGGCACCATTTCAATGTCATAGAATCATAGAAACATAGAACTGGAAGAGACCTCAGAAGGTCGTCAAGTCCAGCCCCCTGCTCTAGGCAGGACCAATCCCAACTAAATCAACCCGGCCAGGACTTTGTCAAGCTGAGACTTAAACACCCCTAGGGATGGAGACTCCACTACTTCCCTAGGTAACCCATTCCAGTGCTTCCCCACCCTCCTAGGGAAATAGTTTTTCCTAATATCCCACCTGGACCTCTCCCACCGCAACTTGAGCCCATTGCTCCTTGTTCTGCCATCTGTCACTACTGAGAACAGCCTCTCTCCATCCTCTTTGGAACCTCCCTTCAGGGAGCTGAAGGCTGCTATCAAATCCCCCCTCACTCTTCGCTTCTGCAGACTAAACAGACCCAAATCCCTCAGCCTCTCCTCGTAGGTCATGTGCTCCAGCCCCCTAATCATTTTGGTTGCCCTCCACTGGACCCTCTCCAATGCATCCACATCCTTATTGTAGTGGGGGGCCAGAACTGGACACAATACTCCAGATATGGCCTCACAAGAGCTGAATAAAGGGGAATAATCACATCTCTGGATCTGCTGGCAGTGCTCCTCCTAATGCAACTTAATATGCTTTAGCCTCAATAATAATAGACACTAAAATGCATGATGCCAGGGTAGGAATGGTCCTAACCACTTCCCCGCTTCTACTGGGCCAGCTGTACTGAGCACACCAGTGGGCAAAAGAGGCACAGAAGCTTTCTAATTACTTTTCCCAGGAGATTAGACGCAGTCTGAGGAGCCAGGCAGTGCAAATTGCGTCCTCTCGGGTCCTGTATGTGGACCCTTGAGCTATCCAAGCATTTTGGTGAGAAAGAAACATGTCTATTCTCAAGAGCAAGACCTGAAAAGTCATTCTCCCACTCTACACTGTGCTGATTAGGCCTCCACTGGAGAATTGGGTCTGGTTCTGGCCACTACATTTCCAGACAGATGTGGAGGAACTGGAGAGGGTCCAGAGAAGAGCAACAAAAATGATGGAAGGTCTAGAAAACGTGAGCTATGAGGGAAGACTGAAAGAATTGGGCTTGTTTAGTTTGGAAAAG